GCTGAAGTCCAATAGTTTCTCAATGCTTTCGGCATTACAAGACAACAAGGAAAGCAGTTCACAGGGGTGCTAATTCACAGTTCTCCATGTCACTCTTTGATTTTCCTTCATTTTTAATAATTTTTCCCCATTTTTACCATTTCAAAAAATCATACATCAGCAGATGAGTTAGTTTCCCATAGCACTGTATGTTAAATCCTAACTGGCTTTTGGCAAAGGTGTGCCCAGTTACCCACCCCCTTGCTCCCTCTGCTGCCTCTGCTGACAGTTCTCACTGTAACTCCCAAATCCTGCTCATCCATCCAACATAAGAGAGCTGTGCAGCCTTTCCATGCAACAGGTCCCCCCAGCCAGCACTGAAAATCATCTGTGACAGGGATAAACTCTGCAACAGAGTTCTCAGAACATCCATCCAATGAGTTTTGAACAATAGCCAGATATATGCCTTAAGCCTTGTGACGTGTCTTGGTACTGTCATACAGGTGTGTGGTATAGAAGTGTCCTTATCATTCCCAGATACTGCCAGCCTAGAATCCAGAAGGATAATTGAACAAAAAACCCACAGTCCCTATGTGTACCCATGGCTCACCTGTCCAGCGTTCATGCCACAGTTAGTGTCTGGGACCCACCAAGTACTATGGCAGCACTAACTTCTCACTGCTGCTGCTTTGCAGCTCAGCACTTCAAGGAGACAACGAAGCCACCAAAGGTCGGGAAATTCAGTACCTGGGTGGTTCCTCTCAGCTCAGCAGGGAACCAAGTGCTAAAGGGTCTGCATCACTGTTTCCTGGCATGCTGGAACAGGAGCGCTGCTTCACAGAAGTTAGTGTACCAAAACAATCCAGAAACTGATGTTCCTCAGCAATACAGAAAAACAACAGCTAGGGAAACCTCAGTTTCCCTAACCAGGTTGCCCTTTTCCACAGATCTAGACTTACCAGAGAACTGAACTGAGTGGAATCTGTTGAGGTGCCGCTCCATGAATACGTGTGAACTCAAACATCTTCCTCCACAGCTAAAAGGATACAACTATTATGGACGTTTACTGATTTTTCAGAATTAGATTTATTTATTCCTTTTGGCATCAGCCTAGATTGGCCTTTTTCAGGTACCAAACTGGTAGGAGTTTCACGCAGTTACAGTGAGAGCTTCCCTGTTCCTCTGTGTGAAGGGAGTTGTTGTGCCTGCGTACCTTATCCGCGTACATACATTTCACCTTGCTACTTCTCAGAAAGAAATTTAGGACACAAAATTATACACTTAAGTACTGATCATTAAAGTGTACACAAATCCATACACAAAACACCAAGTAATAAGAAAGGTATTATTTGTACGAATGTGTGCAAATATACAAGCAATCCTTTCAGCACTAAGAAAACGTCTTTGAAAACTACATCTTCTACACTGAGATCAAAAGAGGTAGTCTCCCTGCTCCATAGCCACCTAGAAATCAGGTGGCTCGTCCAACCCAGTCATTGAGACTCCTTCTATAGTCAAGCAAGAGAGATAAGTGTCTCCAGATCGCCATTTATCCCATTCTAGGATAGGTGAGTAAAACAGGTGAGATGAATCACCCTGGCATCGCTATCTGCTGGGGGAGGTGGGGGAAGGTGGGAAATTACTTCCTAGATTACTAGCTTAGGAGAGATACTTAACTTTTAGCAGTTGAGGTTAAGAGGAATCTCATGCTACAAGATTAGGCAGGATTATAAAGATTCACACACTTGTGAAAAATCACATCATATCTTCATGAAGAAAGTAAAAATTTTAATTTCCCATGGAGAAAAAAATCATCTTACACTCTCCATCATTCAAACTGTAGATTACTGAGTCTGTAGATCACTGAGTCTATTATAGTCAGAGATTTGAGGAGGTTTTGTGAGTTTGTGAAACTTTTAAAAGTTATTTCTTTGTGAAAGAAATAAGGTTTGCATTGTTCTATTTTTCCCAAGAAAATGAGATTCACATTCTGAATGGTAAGAAATTATTTGTTGCAAACCTAATAGCCATTTAAATATGACAGATTTATAAGAAAAATCTGAAACATTTACTGGGAGCATGCTACCAAGTAAATGCTGTCACAGATAGTTTAGTGTTCGCCAAAGGGAAAGGTGGGAACATAGCATCATCCCAGAGATCAGAAACGTAGCTTAGTAGTTCTTCCCCAGAGGAAAAACTTGTTTAGCTCACTGCTTCTATTCACCTGACACCACAGTGTCAATTAGAGACAATAGTTTTTCCACATCTGTTGCTCTCCAGGAGTTCAAGGTCCTGTTTAGGTTTTGCACAAGATTTATGCAAACAGTAGGAACAGCTACTTTTAGTAGTATCTCTCAGTGCTACCTCTTGCACTACTAAAACCAATAGCACTATTTCTCCCTGCCAGCTAAGTATAGTAACTGTGAGCATTCACTACCTATAAACGTAGGTAATTTCACACAAACAAAAATCTCGGAACAAAAACTGTTCAGAGGAAATGGGCACAGTTTGCAAGTTCTTTTAAATCACTAATATTTACAATAAATAAGGAGCAATATTTAATACTTTCATGAGATTCCCAGTTGGCATTCTTGAAAGGCTAATTGTTAAAGAAATTGAAAAATTCAGGCTTGTACTAGTAACGTACATAATTTTCAGTCACTGGGTGCCCAGTTTCTCCCTGCATGGAAAAAACAACAGGCTGCATCAGAAGCCCTGGATAAACTAAACTCAAAAATGGATTGAGAAAGAGGCAGACAGTGCATTTTCTATTTTGCTCTGCTCATTTTCTACTGTCACCCCCTTTCACATTTTCCCTTCTTACATCAACTATTACGAAATGGGTAAAAAGCATAAAAATGTGATTAAGTGAGCATCAGATCAAAAGTGGCTCTAAATTTTAGATGTCAGAACCTGATCTCGCAAATCAAGTAAAATGTAGACATGAGATTTGCCCTTCTCTGCATCACTGTGGCTGGTTGATAAGATTTACAGATACTTGACCAGCACTATATTGATATTCAGGTGTTAATAAGTAACTGTCACAGTCACAATCACTACATATAGTGATTCACATTTTGTGTTCCTTTAAATATAACTACAATGCTATCATGCTAACAGTCTTACTGAAATCCAAAATGGGTGAGGAGAAGAGCAAAGGCTTTCATTTCCTTGTTAGTTTACAACCATTTCACCTGTCTTGTCCCAGGGTCTGGTGCTGCATTCCAGCAATGCCAGCACTGGGAAGGCTAGAGAGGTGTAAAAAGACCATAAAAGAGAAGCACCAGGAGACACCATGGAGATCAACAGGTCACACACTACAGTTTTACAGCCCCAGTTTCCAAAGATGCTGGCTCACAGACAGCACAGACAGTCATAGCTTGGACATCTGCAGGCAATGAGCAGAGCAAAGCATTGTCCCTACACTGTGTACGCCCACTTGTTTCTACTCTCCATAACCTGTTACATATGTACATTCCTACGCAGAGCAACTATGAAATTTGTGGTTAGAAAGGCGGCAGATATCAAGCATTAAAGCACATACTTAAATGCCTTGCTTCGCTGTAGACATACTTTGTGGGGGTTCTCATCATACCTGCTAAATTCAACAGAGAAACAGATGCAGGTCCTCCACTAGAGTTTTCCCTGCAGTCAATTTTTCCCCCTTTCTCTTCAATACTCCCCCAAATTTTTTCTTCTGAAGAAAGCCGTTAAGAAAAAAAAAATCCAAAATCACTACTCTTTGCTCCTACAGACCTTCATTTTTTAACAGACTGGCACAACCAGCCCTGCAGTCTTTAGGTTATTTTATTTGCTCAAAATATATAGCTGTCACTACTAAAAATGAGTGATTATATGCTAGCATACCAAGGAATTGCATTCCCCAGGTTAAGATTTTAAGTCCTAATACATTTTTACAGACTTCATCAGTACAAATAGCAACGACCAAGAGTTTCACACCTCCTAAGATGCACTACAGACACATTAAGACTAATTAAATTAACAGAATCTGGGTGCACATCTCTGGTCACACTTAAATTAGCACCACACAGAGGAAGCTGAACCTGCAAAATGAAGGTCAGGACTGAGGACCCAGCATCCACTTGGGGTTTTTCACTTTGAGCAACCTCTAATCTGGATCTGTGGACCAAAACATCCGCTAGCAGCTGGCACACACAAGGTGAAGCACGTCCTACGTCCATCCATCCATCTGACGTCAGCCTCACTTCGTGATGTGAGCTGACAAGTGCCGAGGGGAGACAACTGGAGGTTGACTTAAAAGTATGCTGCAGATTTGAGGCAATCAGTGCTAAAGACTTTCGCTACATAAATATTGACATATTAATGTATCTCAAGTACTTCCAAGTTTAAATTGTAAGGATAAAGCTGATTTGAAGTTTGTCAGCAGCCACAGTCCCTTATTTAAGTATGCTTATTTTCATCACCACTGCTGTTTTTCTTCTGTGTACCCAAAACACTGCAGGGTGCACTATGGCCGTGCAGACATGCCTGCAAATGAACATGAGTCCAGTTAGACATCTACAGGCCTTTACAACAAAAACAGCTGAGCTGGTCTATTAATTTCTACAGATATGGTCTCCTCTACAAAAAGATCTTGGGAAAAAAAAAATTAGGTTTTTATTTTTTAAATTTAATTTCATTTCCATATTTGCATTAAATCCATGAATTATGGATAAATATGATTTATTGTGGAAAACAGACTTTAAATGAGCTTAAAATACTGGAAGAGAAGAAAATGTGAGATGTTGATTCTTTTTAGACTTAGAGGTCCCCATAAGAGAGTTGACAAGGCCACAAAAGTTCAGCCATTTCGTGCTTGCAGGCTCCAGCAGAGGAGGAAGTCTGCATTTTCCAGTCCCCCATATATTTATTTGACATTACCATACAATGGGAAATAATGCCGTGGAAGCTCTGAGCAACAGTGTGCGAGGAACTCCTGTAAAAAGAAGCATTAGCATACTTTTACAAATCTTTTTGACAACAGTAGTTGGATGAAGTACCTTTTCCAGACCTATTGGCACACCAGTGTTGGAAGAGCTTGCCTGTAGGTTGCTGGTGCTGGTTCTGCAGGACAGTTACCATCAGGCTGCAGGCAATTCAGGGGACACTTTCACTAGCAGCTGCAAAGCAGGAAAATAAAGGGGGGAAATATTTTGGAAAACAAAAATCTTGAAGAACGAAATACAGACTTTTGGTGGTTTGAGCAACATAAAGCTACTAGAAACTGTCTGAACTGTTAAATTAGATTAATTTAAAGGGCACAAATAGCTGGTTTGATTTTAAAAGCACTTCAGCTTCCATTGCCAAATGAAGTTTTTCTCAATCCTCAAGCTTTAACAAAATTGCCTAACTTTTTTTAAACAATTCCTATCAGTTTATAAGGCACATTTGAGAACTTCGCTAGGCATCAGACAAAACAGTGCATGCAAGGATCTATCCAATTCCCTCCCCAAGTGCAGCTCTCAGCTTGCTTTATACAAATGCCACCTTGAATAAGATTTCCATCCACCAGTTACACCTCATTCTCTGCATCCTTCTCCCATGCACAAAGAGCTACAATTCCTGATAACTTATTCAAATTATTCTGGAGCCCAGGCCAGACTCTCAGCTGTAACTTTTTGAACCAGCTTGGACCAAAAAGAGTTAGGAAATGCACTTTTCCATAGCCAGTTACCACTGGCTCCCAAAACAACACAAGTTAAAAACCAGTAATAGTCAAATGATAGTCTGACTACCAGTGCAAGGAAAGATGTTATCAGAGATGTGTAGAACCTGACAAATACTTATTCATCAAATTTCCAAACTGCAGTGTGAATATAAAAGAGTCAGTACTGTATTGGGGAATCATTTTTTTTTCTTTTCTGCCTGACAAAATTATCAGGGTGTTTCTCTATCTGCCTGGAAAAAGGAAGGTGCTTAACTAGCATGAGACTGCAGTCTACTTGACTTTACAACTAGAACAGTCTCTGTCTGATCACCAAGCTGCACTGGTTTAGAAAACACTTAAATTAAACACTGAATTTTAAACTTGTACAAGAGTCTTATTTCAGTTTAATAGTGACTTATACTAGTTCAGCCTAAATCCAATGCTTACTAACATAAGCTAAAGAGAATGAATTCTAAATTACAATGACTATTTAAGACAAAGGTTTTCCACTGCAATATCTAAGTCAGTATTAAACCAACCAGAAGTAACTTTAGAGGTAATTTTGTAGTATATATAAAGCCCTAAAGAACTCAGAAACAATCATGCTACTGTTGTTCATACAAATAAAACACGACTTGTAACACAGTGCAGCTTTTGTAGTCCTTCCTTTATAAGCTTTTGATAAATAAGTGAAAATACTCTCTACTCAACATATCTCTAACCTTTACCTATAAAGAAAAAAGCCCCAGATGAGTCAATGCTTTTCAAATTAATTGATACTTTACACAAGACAAAATTAAGATTCATATGTCATGATTAAAGTAATTCTCTCCCAATGGTGACTGTGTCGCTCCAAAAATAATTCAATGCAGTATTCTCCTGTTAAGTATGGAGAAAAGTGTTTCCTTTAGAAGAGGAAATTCTCTTAAGGAAGTTGTTTTGAGCTAAATAAAAGTTCAGGATGAAGCCAGCAAAAGGTGTGAAGGATTTCTCTTTGATTTCCCAGCTTGTGTATTTGGGCTCAGACACAGACTACATTTTATGCACATATTAATAGGATGCTAATAAGCCTACAACTCTATTTTAACAGGGAGCTGTAGAGACAACCTGATATGTGGCACCAGATATAATGACTGTCTTAAGCAGGAGATTTATTTCCCTCTCGCCCAGGGAGTGAATCAGACTACATACTTTTTATTACAAGTTCAGATGGAAATGCCTTGCAAAGTTAGGCTGCTACTTTTGTTGGAGTGTTCCTCAGTTAAAGTAACCTTCAAAGGATTGAAATAGAAGCCAAGCCTTTTAGAGTAACTAGGAGCAGCAGCTTGCTCTTCACTGGTAATCTTAAATGCAAAATAAGGCCACTGAGTTGCAAACCCCCGTAAATTACTAGGTCAGGAAAACAATCCTGATATCAAAAACACAGAAACTGGCAGCATGTATTTAAACAGCTTGCAGCATGTCATTGAAAACTTTGAGACATCCTATCTAGTTGTAAACTTCAGGGGTATATCAAAGCGAAATCTTTTAGGTTTTTTAAACACCTGAAAAATTTATAAAAGTGATATAAAGAATAATAAGAACTAGGAAGTAAGACTAATCTCAACTATATATTTATCCTAATTTGCAGCTACCATTAAAAAATCTAAAAATTACATCTAGTTTATCTGGTGCCACATATCCTAAGAACTAATTTAACTACACATTCAAACAAGTCTTCCATACACCTTCTCCCCCAAACAAATTTCATCATTTCAATATTTTTTTTTAATCCATATTTCTTAAACAACAAAAATAGATAAGGACAACTTTTCTTTCATAATCAGACACTTAAAAAATGGCCTTTTGCTTAAAAATCACATGCAAAATAGAATTTAAAAACAAACAACAGCAATAACGGACCCCCCCCCCCACCAAAACAACAATGAACAAGTGATTTCCATTTGAATTTGAAATAAGAATCCTGGAAAAGTGTGATTTTTCTTAGCTTATTGACACAGAAGCTTCCCCCTTTTATTAACTATTGTTTTAATGCAACTTTTAAAAAGTCATACCAAGGATTTTTGTTGTTGTTTAAAAAATATCTACATGGCTTAGACTTTTTATTTTTGTTTGTTGGTTTTGGGTTTTGGGGGTTTTGTTTTGTTTGTTTTGGTTTTTTTTGTGTTGGTTTTGTTGTTGTTGTTGTTGTTGTTTTTTTAATAAATATTCTTATTTCCAGCCTAGTCAATTGCCCAGCATGTACACATGCCGTTGCTAGTAAAACTGTCTGAAATATCTTCTATCCCGGGAAGATTCTCAGCTTTAAATTTATTTCTGTCAGCTCAAGGCTTTACTGACAATCATCTCAACAGTCAACAGAAAAAAAAAAAAATGGACAATTGTCAATCATCAGTTACTCTGTCAGAAAGAAGAAATTCTTGCAGACTTTCTATTTTTAATGTGAAATAAATTAATATAGTTCTGAAATTACAAAGTAGTTGACTAATTTGAATGCTGACTAAATGGGATTTCCCTCACCTTTCCTGTCATTTCTACATGGGAAGCTTCATCTCTTCACTTGACCTTCTCCTCAAGAGAATGAAAAGAGGAGAAGCAAAGTGCCACCCAACGATGTCTCATGACTGCTTTGTAAATTATTCAAAATGCCCATGTGTCCATATAACTGGCTTCAAAGGACTCCCAGAAGTAACCAAGCACATTCTGAAATGAGGCACCCTGCGCTGCTCCAAAGGGGCTGTTCCTCACTTACGCTACTGCAGCCATCAAGCACAGCAGCTTATACACTAGGACGTTCTTTTGTAATTCTCATCTCCTCATATGATCTCTGTGCTGGAGAGGAGCGTCTCACTCTCCTCTTGCTGCAAGTCTAGCCTTGAGAAGGCAAGCACCAAGAGCTTCAGGCATCGGATTCTCTTGCAGAGGGAGAAGGGCAACTCTAAAGGACTGTAACAGTGTGTTGAAGCCTGTGCCGTGATGTCTGGTTACAGTTACACTGAAAGAATAGCAATAAAACAAGTAATTACTACTACCTCTTGCAAATCTACTTCGTTTTCCTGGCTATATGACCTAAGAAGCCAGTGTCAAGAGAGGAACATTTAAGTCACAAAATGGGCAAGCCATAAACCAGAGCTCAATCTACTGTGTTGTTATGCATGCTGCATATAGATATAGATACATATACACACAAAATGGTGTTGAAAAGTACAAAATACATATAAATACACTACTGGTCACATTCTGTACTGTAAGCTGTGAGATGTGAAGAGCATGTATGCCTGCGGTGCTGTCCTCCATCACTTTGGGCAGCATTCGGACAATGCTCCAAAGCCATCTTGTCTTCCTCATTCAAGGACTACCTTTTGAAACCAGTACCAGTCTTTATGACCCTCTGCCTAAGAGCATCCTTAATCTCAAAGAAAGACAAGAAGGGAGACGGGCAGATAGACGGAAAACCACAAGTTACAACAAATTGGCTTTTTTGATCTGGGTGGGGGTTTCTCCGTCCATATTTTAGAAGACAGATGTCATCAGGGTATAAAAAGATAATTTATGCAGTGTCTAGACTTTAAATCCTGAAGAAAAAAAGCAGAAATGTTCTTCATTATTTACAAACTCAAGCACCCTCTGTTTGGAGACCTCCTTCTTTCTTTGATTTTTGTTCAATTTTACTTTTCAAAGAGGCTTCAATCTAACATTCAAATGAAAAAAACCAAATCCTAAATCTATTCAACTGTCTCACATTATCCCACAGATATTAACCGTGCTTTGCTGACCACAGCAAGGTTTGCTAGTGAGAGGTGATAAACTTTGTCTCTCTTGCCCTATATTGACAGCCATTCCTTTGATTTTCCAATTCCCCCTCTGTCAGGACTAGGCTTCTCTGAAGATATGAGCAGCAACAGGCATCCTGTGAACTGGGAGGGAAAGCCAAAGTATAAGAAAAATGAGATAGCATATCTGAAGTATCATACATCTGTTTTGGTGTACTTGGGTTGACCCTGGCTGTGCCCACCAAAGTGCCCACCAAAGCCACTCTGTCGCTCCTCTCCTCAGGTCAGGGGAGAGAAAATACAGTGAAGTCCCATGGGTCAAGATAAGGACAGGGAAAGATCACTCACCTGTTACTGTCATGGAAAACCAGACTTGACTTGGGGAGATTAGTTTAATTTTTTTACCACTCCTTCTTCCTCAGGGGGAAGACTCCTCACACTCTTCCCCTGCTCCAGCATGGATCCCTTCCACAGGTGACAGTCCTCCATTAACTTCTCCAAGGTGAGTCCTCCTCATGGGCTGTAGTTCTTCATGATCATGCTCCAGTGTGGGTCCCTTCTATGGGTGCAGTCCTTCAGAAAGAAGCTTCTCCAGCATGGGTCCCTGCATGGGAGCAGCCTGCACCACAAGCTGCAGGGGAATATCTGCTCCACCCCCAATACAAATTATGAGCATCTGCTCATCATGAGATTACAAAGC